ATTATTATTTTATGTTTTGTAAAAATGTTGTCTCATTACTAAATCAAATAAGTTGACTGTACTTTTTTACTAAAATATAGAGTGTAATGATCTTGTTAAGCAGAGATTACTAAAGATGTTTTGATTTTGAAATGAAGGGGCGGGGCCTATTCAAACTCTGCCCTGCTGCACATGTTCGGGCAAGTTCCACCACAGCGTCGCTACTACTGTCGGACTTTGAGTGAAAGTGGATTGGTAAGTAACAAATATTTTAGATATTTGAAGACATTTCTCTACGTAAAAGATAGCTGTGCTCCACGTGCAGATGTAACTTAACATTACAGTAACAGCCGACCGTTATCGTAGTTTTGGTAAAGTTGAGGGTTTTGGAGTGGTGAGCGCGAATGCTCAATGAATAGTGTGCTAGGATTTAGTTTAGGGGTAGCATGCTAACTTTCTCAGTTCACAGTTTGTTACGGAAAGTTGCTTTAGGAGAGATGTAGGCTGCTGAAAGCAACCTTTATTGCACAAGTTCATACCGAGTGAATCCTGTCTGTGGTATATTTTTTATCTTTAATGCGCTCCAGTTGTATCAAGTCAGCAAATTTGTATAGTTAGATTAGCTTAACTTCACGTTGCAGCACGTGCTTGTGTTAGCTAGTTCACGTTCTATACGATTACGGTCTGACTGAAAATGTAATGGACTTGGTCATTAGCTGGTTTTTAGTAGAGATTAGTTAAATGAGCAATATGTGACAATTGTATGTGTGGAAAATAGTGCAGCAGTTAACAAATAATTTGGAGCCACGTTGAAATCCTGAAGGAGTAAAGAGCTATGGTTGTTGCCAGATCCCCCCATCACCAGACTATTAAAATAAAGTGACAATAACAAGTTATTAACTCTGTCAATTGTCTGCAGATAAAAAGGCAAGCCCAACTCATTCTGCATTAATTTTAACTCTAAATAACGTTAAACAAGAAAACTAATTATTCTGGCTGAGAACAGAAATTTCAAAGGGCGAGAATATTTCAAAGTACCATATTTCCTTGATCTTTGATGACATATGG